CATGGAGGATAAGGCTATGCGTCTCTACTAGACATGACAACTGTGTTCTGCTGTCTACTATTGGAGACAGTATGCCTCTAAGGAATATCAGTCTCTGGGCATCACAAGGTGCTCCTGCCTTATGCAAGGGCTTCCCACAGGCATCTGGTTGGCCACTGTGAGAACAGGCTGCTGGACTAGGTGGCCCTTTGGTCTGATCTGCAGGCCTCCTCTTATGCTCTTATTGTTTGCCAAGCCATTCTTGACTGTTGCAAAGGATTCTGGGTAGATGTCATGGGTTGGAAACTGAGTTCACGTAAAGAGCTTGACTCACCATGTCTCCGAATGAACTGAGGATGCACCCAAGACCACACCCAACAAATAGCAAAGTTGAGCAAATGTCTTTCAGGAAGGTTTGTCTTCTATTACTGATCCTGACACTGAAGAACCCTTGACTGCTTTCCAAGTGGCCCTGAGGTAAAGTCTCGACATCACTGGAATAGACCATTGTTAAACAAGTGGAATATTTTATATCACCACCCTAGCTGCAGAAGTCCCTAAAAACCTATCCATTAGAAAAAGGGGGGCATTTTCTTTTCTTTTCCCCAGTTCAACGAGAGAGCCAAGCAATTTGCGATCTCCCATGTGTGCTCAAAAACATCAAAGGAAATTCAAGACCTGCTCCAGCAACAAATTAATCTTCTTCCAGGAGAAATAACGTTACAGATATAGACATTGTCTTAATCCTCAATTATTAAATTGCAGTGAGGAATTAATTTGTCAGCAAACGTTTTGATACATTTTGGACATCTTGCCAGTGGTTTGTTTGAGGGCGCTGCATGCTGCTACGTGCACTGAACTATGCGTGAACCCAAGATCATCATGAGCTTTTGAACATACAAGCGGTGGAACAGCTCCCAAGTAAAAGTGTCTTCCCAGAAATGGATGCACGAAAAAGCACCAATCCTGCAGGAAACGATACGAAATATTATGAGAGAAGGGAAACAGGTCTCTCTCTCTCTCTGATAATGTTAGAACTTGTGGTCATCTAAGTATGAGGTGTTAGGAGAGGGACAGTATCTCTGGTCGGGGACACATCATGCTCCTTTCCCCACCTCTAGTCCCCACCCTGCTCTTAGTTCTCACCTGTGGCTCCTAGATGCTGACAGCAGCCACACCCTGAGAAATGGCTTTGACTGACTGGCTAAACCAGGTGAGGGTAGCCAATGGGTCTTAAACTCTTAGCGAGTTAGATGAGTTTGTGGATGGCGTCTTGTATGCCTGCTTCTGACAACTGCGGGAGCCAAATGTATAGCTATCCTTTTCTTTGGATCACATGAGGCTGAGAGGAGGGTTACATGGGTAGCGCAGGACCTCCGTACACATTGCCCGGGCTTGGAAATCTAATTAAAGCAACCAGAAGGAGAAAAGTTTGGATTTGATATCCCGCTTTATCACTACCCGAAGGAGTCTCAAAGTGGCTAACATTCTCCTTTCCCTTCCTCCCCCACAACAAGCACTCTGTGAGGTGAGTGGGGCTGAGACACTTCGGAGAAATGTGACTAGCCCAAGGTCACCCAGCAGCTGCATGTGGAGGAGCGGAGACGCGAACCCGGTTCCCTAGATTACAAGTCTACCGCTCTTAACGCTGGAGGTTCAGAACAGACAAAAGGAAACACTTCTTCACATAGTACAATTGCTTCTTGAAATAAACATTGTATTTAACTATGCAATTTATCTGGAATCATGGAGCTGGAAGGGAACCAAAGGCAGTCACATCAAAGATTTGTATATGCATCTGATTAAATGGACTCTAAATGGACTCTGAAAGCTTATGCTGGGACGAATTTGTAAGTGATAGCAAGGCTTGTCATTTTGAGGAAGAGAGAAATGTTGGCAAGCACTAAAGGCAAGCCAGTGTTGCTCTCACCCACTCCGAGAACCTGCTGCCCCCCGAATGTAGGGCAAGGATGCCCCTGTGAATGATTCACTTGCCCTAGATGCAGCTGCTATACCTCACTCCTGCAGTCTCACCACTTGTTGTGTTTGTGTTTCACTCCCTTTCCCCCTTGTGTTGCCTTACTTCTCTCTCCCTGGTTTATGGGCCCCATCAAAAGTCCTTGGTAGCCAATGGCAGAGCGACCACCAAGAGTAGATTTTTATAGCTTGCCATCTTCAGCAACTATCATAAACAATCAGGCTGATAAGCCATGCCTGCCAAGAGGACTGTGCATCCAGCTGGTGGATAGCTGTTTATCTTTTTGTTTTAAGAGAACAGAGTCTTCATGAGGACTGGGAACTCTGAGAGAATTAGGCTTTTAAAAAACAAGTGGACTGTTGCTCGAATCCAAATGATGAACTCTAATACAGTGGTACCTCGGGTTACAAACTCTTTGGGTTACAGACTCCGCTAACCAGGAAGTAGTACCTCGGGTTGAGAACTTTACCTCAGGATGAGAACAGAAATCACACGGAGGCAGCGGGAGGCCCCATTAGCTAAAGTGGTACCTCAGGTTAAGAACGGTTTCAGGTTAAGAACGGACCTCCGGAACGAATTAAGTTCGTAACCCGAGGTACCACTGTATTAAGGATGGTGGGGTTTAACCTTCTCAGTGCATCAGGAGTGTCTAGATCAACCTTTGCCAACCTGCTGCCCTCCATGCTGACTGTGGCTAATGAAAGTTGTAGTCCAAAACATCTGGTGAACACCTAGTTGGTGAAGGCTGAACTAGATGACCTTTGAGTACCATTTCCAGTCGCACAGTTGTATGAGTCTACAAGAAGACAAGGATAATTACTGGTTCAGTTTAAAAGCAGGAAAGCGAACTCTTTAAGGTACATATTCCAGTCCTTAAATCCTACGATTTTCTACATAAACACGCCATCCAGCAAGTGTTTTAATCATGGTCCTCGTAAAAATTTCATGCCTATAGAGCCTCATTTTATAGGCAACCTTGCAACTGGCTCATGTTGTTGCTAGCGCTATTACCGCAAGCTGGATACACATTCCAAAAAAGATTTGGGTTAACGGGAGGGATGGACTGCCTGTAAAGAAATGGGGGGTGGGAGGCAGATCAGATGCATGCAATACATTATAGATGCAAATAAAGCTTTTTAAAAAACAAACAAACAAACAACTAACTAAAAAATAAAAAGAGAGAGCAATTGGCAACCCCCAAAAAGTCCCAGCAGGAGGGCCAAGTCAATGAGGGAATGTTGCGGTTTGTTGCTCAAATGAGCAGCTTGCTGGGTTTAAACCATTTTGAAATTGAAAAATAAAGCAAACAAATTATCCTATCTGAAAATCTGCAAGCCTTCTATTTTTCCATGTGCAGAGCAATGTGGCACAGCCACACTGATGCAGTCAGAAATCCAAGCTGCCCCTGAGGAGGTACAATGGAAGAGTTCGATGGAGAGACACTGTAAGGTTCAGGGCAGAGCCATGGACAGTTCAGGTTCCCAGCCCCTTCCAAATCCAAATCTAGAGTTTGTGTCCCTTGCCTCTCCATCTCTCCTGAATAAACACAGGAGTCATGGGGCAAGAGGTGGTTGCAAGGTGTGTGTTTGACTCACGTCTCACACTGTGGGGACAGGTGGGAAGTTGGGACAAGGTGAGGGGAATCCAGCCCCCTCAGGACCCCCTTCCTCAGGTTCTCCTGACCTGGGTAGTAAGCTTCCCAGACCACTGGATCCTTTCCCGGTGTCTTCTTTCAGTCAGTGCTGTTCTGTGTCCTGCCTACCTGCCCTGCAGTCAGGGCCCATGACTAGTGTAGTCTGCCAGTGAGGAGAAGGAGATGTGCAGGCAGCCTGTGTCTATCACTTTCCCCACCCATTTTTGACATTTTGCACATTTAATAAGGATTTTAAAAACCCCAATTAAAGGTACCTGGATCCATTTGAGCCACTGATCTGGGTCAAGCTGGCCCTGAATTGGATCTGGGCCACTCCAAAGCACTAGATCTGTGGTCCTACACATAGCCATGTCTTAGACAAAAGCAATTTTGAGCATTTGTGGTGTGCAAATGTGTCTATATTACACACACACAAATGCAGAAATCCAACTGTTCTGAGCAAATCTAATCTATTCCAAGCATTTCAGCAGAAGATGTTTGGATGTATAAAAAGTGTCACATATGTGAACAAAGAGAAAGATGGAGAAAATTGGAGGAGGTGGGGAATCTGGGGAATTGGAACAGAGCCAGCGAGTGGGGAAGAGCAGGGGAGAGGAGTTTAGGCCTTTCTGAAGAGCTTTTTGCTGTCACCCAGCACAGGATGTCTGTCCGTAGGTGTGAAGTGGAAGCGAACACCAGCAAGTATTTTGCAAGATGATATCCCAGCAGTAGGCTGACCTCTTTTCCAGCACATACTGTTCTCCTGCCAGAACCACACACAGACTCCCTCACCCTTGGCTGAAGTCCCCCCCCTCCTCCTCCCTAGTTTCAAAACTGGCCTTTACATCTTTGCTGAGTTACTCCACTGGGAACAACCATTATCTGTGTGTACCAATCCCAAGCTGTCTCTGACTGGGGACTTTGCTTTTGAGCTGGCTCACTCTTCCAGCAATCCTTGATCTTGGAGGAAGGGATCCAAGCTGTCTCTTTGATGTTGGCAAGCCTTGACCAGTGTTGAGCCCTCCCCACTGATTCCCTTCATGCTTTCTCTCCCAGAGACTACAAAGCCACAGGGAAGGGCTGGCTGTTGTATCAGACTCTCCATGAAGCATCACCCAGGTCTTTATTACTGAGCAGGACAGACAGGTCATAGCACGAGGCCCAGAACTTGAAAGGCCTTCATGTTCAAAGGATGCCAGGTTTTAAGGTTGCAACATCTATCTTGACTCCGTTGAGTCAGCCCTCAGATGCAATGGAAAAGTTGAATGAATCAAAGGCATTAGCAGAGTTGATGCACATGGACATGGGTCACGGAGAGTCTACTCCATCCTCCCTTTGTTCACAGGGATCTTCCAAAGAATCACTTTAGGAGAACTCTGCCCAACCATAACTCAGCACCCCTGTAAGGCCACTTAGCTCAGTGGCAAAGCATCTGCACTGCACACAGAAGGTCCCTGGTTCAATCCCTGGCATCTCTAGGTAGGGCTTAGAGCCTGAGTAGAACCCAACATAGATGGTGTTTTGTCCCCCTTTCCTCTAAGACAGGGACTGGGAACATCTTTCAGCTGAAGGCCACATTCCCTCCTGAAAAACATTCCAAGGGCTGTGTGCCAGTGGTGGGTGTGGCCAGAGGCAGAAGTAGGTGGAACAACGAATGTGACTCTTAGAATTGTAGAGTTGGAAGGGACCCTAAGGATCTTCTAGTCTAACCACATGCAATGCATGAATCATCACTAGAGTATCCCTGACAGATGGCCATCCAGTGTCTGTTTAAAAACCTCCAATGAAGGAGAGTCTATCATCTTCCAAGCTACCCCATTCCACCGTTGAACAGTTCTTACCATCAGACAGTTCTACCTAATGTTTAGTTGGAATCTCATTTCTTGTAATTTAAATCCATTGGTTCAGATCCTACCCCATGGAGCAGCAGAAAAAAGTTCATTCCATCTTCCATGTGGCAACCCTTATGATATTTGAAGATGGCTATCACATCAGCTCTCAGTCTTCTCGTCTTCAGGTGAAACATACCAACTTCCTCATCTGTTCTTCATAAAGCTTGGTTTCCAGACCCTTGCTAGTCTTGGTTGCCCTCCTCTGTGCACATTCTTCTTAAACTGTGGTTCAGTTCTGGGCAACACAGTTTACAAAGAACATGTGCAGAGAGTTAAAAGAATCTTAAAGTTTTATGATAGGCTGCATTCCAGCTCCACAAAAGTCAGAGGTTCCCAGATGGTCTGCTCCTTATATCCCTACATTCATGCATGGAAAAGGCTTTGTGACAGTTTATGACACACTCTATCTAGGAAAAAATGCTGAAAGAGGATCAAGGAAGCATAGCCCGGGGAGATTTTCTTGGGCCCTATCAAGTGGGCACATTTAGTCCTCAGGTCTTGGGTGCATCACCCCTGCTTTAGGGTGAAGGGGGTAGGGCCCATTTCAGCAGTTCTGAGGTGGATAGTGGGTGGGCTGATCTTTTTCTTTTTTAATAGCCAGCAAAAATTCAGTGATTGTTTTCACCACACAGTGCCTTCTGCTTCCCAACTGATGTTGGATTGAGACAAGTTTTTTAATAGTAAAAGAAAAGGGAAGTGGGGTAGAACCCATCACCCAACAACAACGTTACATAAAATGAGAATTGGTGAGGTCTAGGGGAAAAAACAGCCACATTCAAAATGGGAGAGCGGTTTAAACAAAACAAGCTTTCAAGAGACTGGGTCATAAAAGTGATGCATCTCCATATCGGATCTAGAGACCACACATCTTGGGAGTTCAGATACGATCGGGAGCTACTCAAGACATCATTCCGTGGTTACCACGAAGAGGCCATTAGAAGCAGGGGGAAAACCTTTGATCTAGTATCTACAGCTGGCTACCTGGGGAGTATCACCTCCATAAGCTTTCAAAGAGAGGCTCCATCTGCACCATACATTTAAAGCAATGCCATATCACGTGGATCCCCACAGTCATGGGATGTGTAGATGTGGCTAGAAAATCAGTTCCAATCTCCAATGTGAAGGAAGGAATTATTACAGGCATCTCTCCACTTATGCAGGGGTTATGTTCTGGGCACGTAACTGAAATAGCGTAAAGTGGGGAGCACCCTCTAAAAAACCTCCAAATGGCCATCCCCCCTTGCTCTACAGCTCTCTCCTCCATTCTCTCCCCAACCCAGACCAAAATATCTGGAGTCAAAGCACTGGGGCCAGCTGGAGGACATGTGGGAAAGTGGCTGGTGCCCTGTGTGCCAGCTGTTAGGTGGTGAGGCTGAGCAGCCAAAACAAAAGTCCTGCTGCGCCTCAGATCTCTTCAGGGCTTCCTCTTCCCTCGCTGCCATCAGTTCCAGGGAGGGTCTCCTCACAAGTCATGAGAACACTACAACTCTCCCCCATGATTTCCTGGTATGATTCTGTCTATTTATTTATTTCCCGGTACTGCACATTTATGCGGTTGCACATAAGTCAATTGCATGTAAGGGGGGCCGGGGGACACAGGTATTATTATTTATGAATCATTTCCCATGAAGCACCTCAAAGCGATTTACAGAATAATAAAAAGTATGCGAACCAGTTATTTATATAAGAACAGTTGAAACAATTGCACCTATAAAAACTCTCTCTATACAGTCGTACATTGGTTGTTGAAAGCCTTGGTACTCAGACGTTTTGGCTCCTGAATGCTGCAAACCCGGAAGTGAGTGTTTCGGTTTGCAAACGTTTTTCGGAAGCTGAACATCCAACAGCTTATGCAGCTTCCAAGTGAGTGCAGGAAGCTCCTGCAGCCAATTGGAAGCCGTGCCTTGGTTTTCGAACTGTTTCAGGAGTCAAACGGACTCTCGGAATGGATTAAGTTTGGCAACCAAGGTACAACTCTATTTTTTTTAAAAAAACTTAAACAAAATCAATTCAAATCCAAGGCAAATACCAACTGGGATAAAGATATTAGAAGGCTTATGGAAAGAAGAATGTTTTTAGCAGGTGCCAAATAGACAATGGAGAAGGTGTCTGTCTGAATCATAACAGTTCCATAGGTGCTTCCATGCTAAGGCTCAGTTCTGGCATCACGTGGAACAGACAAGTGATTGTATTGGCAGCTGAATTTTATTAGGTATGCCACCAGTGGGACAGGCATACTGAGAGAAGCAGGCTAACATAGAGGGCACAGGCCGGCTGGCTTCCAATACCTCGTCACCACTCTCTGCCTCCCATCATCTGCCACCTGAGGTGGACGCCTCCCTCTCCCTAATGGTAGGCCTGGCTCTGGTCATTCCAAACGGAATGTTGCATAAACATTTGCTTATTTATGTAACATACAGTCCCTTTGGGGCTCTGGATTTATTTCCTCTTGAGAACTGGTTGATTTTACGGCAAAGACATCACTCGCTTCATATTATAAAACAGAGCAGGAGCCCAGATTGTTTTTGCAGAATGCATCCCACTATGTGTACTCCGACACAAGTTAATAATATAGTTCCTTCTGAAAATACGAGAGCACTTTGAAATCTTTTGGACAGCAACCTCGGATGATTTAGGGCTCTTCGAGTGTTTGCCTTGGAATCAAATCTTATTTCTAAATTCACAGGTCTTCAGCAGTTGGTCAGAATGTGCTGTGAGACCTGCCAGTTTTCACACCTTAACCAAAGATTTATTCCCAATAAAAGTCACCAAGAAAGGAAATATCCTTATATACATAGCCGTACACTTCTTCTGCCCCCACCCCCAGGAAATCTTTTCATAACTGGATGATTCCCCTCCCTGTTCATGCCCATATTTGCAGAACTGAACCTCTCCTCTCTAAACATCGTCATTGCAAAACTCAGTACAAGGAGAAGAAGCTTTTTAACATCCCCTCCACTTTCCAGTATCGTGTGTGTGTGCGCGTGCACACACACACAAATTGCCAAGTGGCCTCTACAAAACTGGTCTTTGTGCCCAGCAACTGAGCTGCAGATGAAGAAAGGAAGTAGATTTCTTCCCCTCCTCTGTGATGATCTGTGTGGAATCTGGCACTGGCATGGCTGTCTGCAAAACCTGGTAGCTACCTCCTCCTCTTGCTTCCTTCAAATGCATCCAGATGTGCAAAATTTGGGCAGTGAGACAGCTTTGCCACAGTTACAATGCATGTTCTGTCCTGTCCCCCACATAAAACTTAGACTGCATACACAATACACCATTAAAGCACACTTGAAGCACATTCACCCCTCAAAGAATTGTGGGTACTGTAGCTTACCCCACACAGAAGGACAATCCCCAGCAACCTTGAACAAAACACATTGCCCATAATTCTTGGCTGGGGGGTGGGGATGTGCTTCAAATGTGCTTTATAGTGTGCACACAGCCTTAGTTGAACAGAATGAGGATTTGCACAGTACTGGACTGGCTGAACTCTGTGTCAGTCACAAAGCTACCTTCTGCCTTTTCAGGGCTGTGCATGCTGCTGATTGGTTGCCCTTGGCGAGAATCGTGAAGCCACTTCCCTGACCCCACACACCTTGTCGGAGGTGTCTTCAGTGCATTAAGAAACAGAAAATAAAATTCAGGCTATGTTGTGCTCTTAATGGAATTTATGGCAGGGAATGTCCCTTGCCTGAAACCCCAAAGAGTTGCTGCCAATCAGTGCAGAGAATACTGAGCCAGATGGACCAATGGTTTGACTCAGTATAAGGCAGTTTCCTTGTTCCTGTATCCTGTTTTGAGCCAATGAACAGGGTAGAGTCTTACTGGTTGGGCCAGTAAAATCTTGGCTGATTGGCTATGCTCCCCTTATATCATAATCTTTACAACTCTTTCTCCATTTTTTCTGATTACCACTTTAATGTCTGTGTTCTTTAGGCCAGTTTCTGCTGGGATTGTTTGTGTGTGTGTGTGTGTGTGTGTGTGTGTGTGTGTTTGTAATTTGCAGCTTGAGCTTTTGATCTAGGGCAGCTGAGGTTTAAAGGAAGATAATTAGGCGAATTACCAAAGGGAACATTTTTACACTTAATGGTCCCATTTGGTGTCTAAAACATGTTGTTGCAGTAAATAAAGCCAAGCTGAAAAACTCATACATGCCCTGAGGGCTCCTTTCCCTATCCCAAGGGAGGTGCTTTATTCAATGAAGCACACACTGCAACGTGATGGTGCAATGTATGTATTTTCTTTATGAACAAGTCCAAGACAAAAATTCACAGGGAATGGCATTCATTTTAAACTGGACGAATTGAGACATTCAAGAAACTTACAGGGGAAGGGAAGCCAGCATCACACAACTATTAGGGAGAATGAATTTCAGTTATGCAAGCACATCTATTTTGGAAAGCTATTTGTTCACTATGCATTTGGACACAACTATATCATAACCATTTTTTTTATGACAGTCCCTGAGACCCAGGAGCAGGTTTTCTTCTAAGTCTGGATACAATGGTGGGCTAAAACTTTAAAAAAAACCTGCAATGATTTACATCCCAGCATCTTCATTCAGGTCTCGAAATCTCCCTTGCCTA